GTGGAATGTATTACTATAGAATACGTATCAAGATAAAACATAAAAGAATGAACAATTCACAAAAACCAAACATTTAATGTACTCCGCGTAGATCCATGGATTCGTCTACGGTGGAGACCAATAGTATTATARAGATAAAAAAAATGCGTGTCGTTTATTGAAAAATGCTAAATTTAGTCACAATAAACCTAATTTTTTTCGACTGATTTCAACTAGAAACTATACGTCTATACCTACATTTCGATCGTAACTCGTTATTGAGTTTTAAGCGTGGACGGACGTCGATTCATCTGTAATCTTCAATCACGSATAGAATATATTTTACGAAGTCGAACACGCTGTTTGGAGGTAAGTCAGCACTTATATTCACCACTGTAGGTYGGTATAAATTAAAAGATGAAGTTATAGGTACAAGGGTGTTACATGATGACATATAGAAAAACCTTTTTTGGTATTGAATATTAAAATTTTTTTTTATACATATATAATTTGTAGACGCTTGCGCTACATATATATATTGTAAAAAATAAATATTTAATTTTTTTATAATTGTATAATTTATCATGTTTTTTGGAAATTTGAATTAATTTATCATTTATCGTAATAAGGGGAATGTAGGATTGCATATTAGTTATTATGTTATAAAATTAGGGGTATGTATGGTTGCATATAAATTATTATCTTCTACTATATTGGATAAAAAATATTTAAATTTTTAACAACTTAATAAATTTTAGGAAATTAATGATATCTTTATAAATATTTGAACCAGCAAAATTTTTCTGAAAATCAAATTTCCAAAGTAGCTATTTTGGATTTTTCAAATTAATTTTTTATTAAATTCAAAATTTTTTATTTTCAGAATTAAAAAATTTAAATATTTGTTTTTATATTATTGCTACAATACATGTAGTACAAGCGTCTTCTAATTATTTATGAAAAACAAAAAATAAAATAAAATATTGAATACCAAAAGAGTTATTATTCCATGTGTCAGAAAATCGTGTAACGCCCTACTAAAATTTTCGAGTATAATTTGAGTACCTACTCTACTCAATTAAAAATATTTGTATGCGCACAAAATAATACGAGTATAATTGACTTCAATCGACTTTTTTTAATACTCGGAAATT